AGCTGGAGAGTCAAATAATTCACACTGAATATGAAACTGACTATACTAGTTGAATGGTTGAAATGAAGGGTTTTCTTAATGTAATTTTTGGAACAATTCGCTGAAACTTTACTTTTTTTCCCATTTCGTTAGGTCCTTTTTTGTCATTGCGCAGAGCACAAGTACTGAGTCACAAAATGCAGTTTAGCAACTACCCAGAAGTGCAAAAAAAGCAGCAGGAAAGTGAAATTATACACATGATGGTCTACACAGTATGTTACAGAATGAACAGAGTGGCATAAACGCTAATTATATGAATATAGAAAAAGAGATGTGGATAGAATATTAAATAGATGAATGTGAATGTACAGGTGGGGATAAGTAGTGACATGAACAGTACAATGCATAATATGTACATATATACAGGATCAAAATTATAGATTAGTAACTAGGACACAGATCACAGAGAAAATCATTGTTAATATTCATTTACATACTAACCCTTAAAAAACAGTTTACAACTGTAAATAGGTCCATATCAAAAATCAGTTTTTACCAATTGTAATTTGTTCATCTGTTTGTTTTATAGCTTTTAAATCACCCAAAAAACATTATTTTATATATCAAATATTTGCTGTTATTTAAAAGAAAATTGTGTATACTAATAATCTTTTTTTAACTGTTATTTTTACAGATTTTCCCCTTTTTCTTACATTACAAATACTTTATTTTCAAACCACAGGAAAAAGAAAACATTAATTTATATGTTGGCTGTTAGAAAAAGATAAAAACAGGCTGAAACTTCATATAACGCCCACATCAAACATCTCTTTTGCTTATGTGTGACCATAAACTTACACTGATTCACATACATTTTCACTGCTTTTACAGTTTTTTTTTTTTTTTAAGTTACAGTATTCCCCCATTTTTTAAAATATTTTTTAACCGTGTATATGGATCTAGTTTTTCTTTGAAGCCCTGTATCCCAAAAGCTATATTCCTATAAAACTGGACTGGATCCTCAGGTTAATTTTGAGGGAACCCTGAGCTAACCAACGTACTGTATGTTTACAACTAAATACATGTAAAAACGATAAGACAGAAAACACGCGGTAAAAAATATAAATACATATCAAATAAGGATAAAAGGATATCAACATTTAAGATCACATTTTAAAATTAAAAAATTGTAAAATACTAAAATATTAATACCACGGAGAGCAATTAAAAGCCTTTGGAAACATGCATGTTTTGGGATTTTTCTTGAAGCCATCAACAGAGGAGGAGCATTCGATTTGAAAGACAAAAGCTGTTTTAAAGCTTTGGAGCCCCTAACACAAGGGTACGGTTTCCCTTCCCCATCATCCCCAAGTTGCAAGACTTTACAAACAGATAAAAGAAGCTTAAAGCAGCTGCAGAGGAGAGCGAAGGGACTGACAATATTCAGGTACAAGGAGTTACAGCGGTTAATGCGGCAGCTGCAATCTTTGTGTCATTTAGACAGACGATGGGTTTCAATTTCACCGTTGAAAGCAGCGTCCTTTTATCTGTTTGTCAAATTTCAGTGCTGAGTCAAAGATGACACTGAGGTTCCTGCCAGGGGCATCAAGGTTTGCTGTCCACCTCTATGAGAAGAGCACTTAGTGACTGGTTCCTCTCATTGTGGGGTTGTGGGGACCAAGTACAATCACTCCTGTCTCGCTGTCATTCAGGTGAAGACAGTTTTTTTGGCCATTCTGTATTTCACCTCCTGGAGGGATGAGTTAGAGGTGGAGTCTGCCAGATTCAAAAGCTGGCAGGTGTATCTCTGTCTCATCAGTGTAAAAGGTGACATTATGTTAGGGGAAGATGAAGCTTTTAGGCTCCTCTATGCTTCATCTTTTAACCCAAAATGGGACCAATTAGTCACTTTTCTTTTTTAGAAAATAACAGATCGTGATGCTGTTAGCTACCTGGGAAAAACACATTTCTTACCAAATGTAATTGAGAATGCTTGTAGTAACACAACTTTAAGGAGACACACTTGGTTTGAGGCCTTATTTCTTTCTCCAAACAGTTCTTTTAATGTTTTACTTTTTTCTTTAGATGATTAAATAACGTTTTTCTGTCACTTTAATGGTGTAAAGTGCTTGTGGGCAATGGATGACTCCTGTATCGAAGATGTAACTTTAAGCCTGAAAACAATTTAAACTGCTGAGTTATATAAAATTCACTGTCTGCACAATTCTCATGAACTGAAAAATTGGCTGCACAGACCAAAACTGCTTTTGTATCAGGCTGTAAACACGTTTATTTCTGCTGTAAAGTTTTAACATTAAGGTCTATGAGGATTAAATTGCTTTTGGAGGAGCCTCAAGTGGCCATTTGAGGAACTGCAGATTTTGGAACTTCCACGCTGCCTTCATTTTTGAGCTCTACATTTCCCTGCTAGTGTGCACCTCATCTGCACAGTTAAAAGCTTCTTGGGAAAATGAATCTGTAGCCTTAGGGATGCTAGCTGCTAGCCTTGGGGTGTTAGTGTCTAGTTCCATAAGCTACATATCCAATGATGTAGACATGTGAGCTACTTTGCACACTGAATAAAAAGCTGAGCGCAGTGACTGGTTCATCTTGAAGACTCATAAGTTATATATTATTTTTGGTACAACTAATGCATCATATTATTTGTAATCAAGGTCTCTTGCTCACAATAAGCCTTTGGAAGTGATTATGCACAACAGTAAGCATGGGCAGTTTGGAAACCATGAGTCAGTGTTACCTTATTCGACATAAGTCTCTGCATTTTCCTTTTATTTCGGTCATTAAATTAAAAAAAAAAAAAGATGTGTGTTATGTCTGATTATATGAAACCACAGTTAACTAAAGTGGTTAAAAAAAACTGAAATACTATTCTTATATTCAGCTCTTATCATTTCGTCACAGCTGATTTCCCTTTGATGCTATCTAAAACTACTTTGAGGAGCATCAAGTCTATGCAGATAAAACTCTGGTTGTGACAGCAGACTGAATTTTAAACCTGTGTTGAGATATGACCTGTAGGTTTCAAAGCCACCGCGAAAAGGCGACGGAGGAACCAGAGAGTAAAACGTCAACAGTCTGACTCAACAGACACATTTTGCGCTGGTGTTCAGGAGCCAAACAGGGTAACATAAATTGTAGAAGAGGCCTCGGTAACAACTTATCACAGGCAGAAGCCTCACGCGGCCATAAAGACGAAGTTTGTAGGGAACACATCTTTGCTTTTTTCTGTAGAAACACGAAACAACTGCAGAAAGAACAACTCACATCCACTGGGGGTTTAGTTATTGATGAAAAACAGCTCGAGGACTGCTGACACACAAAAATTGAACATTGGTTGTTCAATCACAACAGCTTTGAGGCTGTTTCTTGTGTGCTGTCCATATAAATATGGATGAGTTCTTTACACATACACTAAATATCTTTCTTTCTTGAACGTGCCATATTTTCTGTGGTCTTAGATTAATTCTATAAGAGATAATACATTTGCAGATGATTCTGTTCAAGTTGTATTTTATACAGTAACCCGGGAGCTGTTATCCATCATCTTTTATGACTTTCCACCAAGAGACTATTTGTACTGATTAAAACTATACTTACTTCATTTGTATCAGTTAAATATAATGAAATATAGCTCAAGAGCCTCAGAGTACCTACTGCTCACCTCTCATCAACGTAAAAAGAAAAAGATTTAGAAGGTTGGAGTAATAAAATCATGACAAGTTTTAAATTTGTGCGACAAAATTTACTGTCTGACCTTAAATCTTCAACAGAGCTGCTGTCTCCTGCACAGCGATAGTTATACAGATAACAGAGGTGGTTCTTGTGACGTAGCGGATGATCTTTTCGACTCTTTTTTTTTTTGTTGGGTTGGAGTACAGGGAGAGTTTCAAAAGCACAGTTTTAGGGGCAACTAAATTTTAACGCAGCAGTTTGCCTCAATCTTTTTTTTCTCGCTTTGACAGTTTCAAATGAAACTATGTTCAACCAACTAACAGCAATAAATCGGGGGAATTTGTTTTTCGTCTACAATCAGTGGAACTTTTAATTGGTTAATAATTTAAACTTCTAGTTGCTTAAACATGCGCGACAGTTCCAGGTCCCAAAATTTTCCCACAGTCTTGCTTGGTATCCCATTGGTTTTTATAGAGTGGTCATACTCTGCACATTTTCAAATGATGGTAAAAGGTAACCAAAGCATTCTAATGTGATGGCGAGGGGTCCTGACAAAGTGGGAGAGAGACCAGGCTTGAATAATCCTCCGCCACAGGAGGTCAGACAAACCACACACAAGTTAAATGCACCCGGCGCTTTGAGTGGATATTTTGATTGAGGTTTTTACTTCCTCCATGTATCCCCTCTCGTTCCTTTCACTTCACTCAGACATGGCATTGTCTTCTCTTGTCATTGCATGTGTGACCTTTATGTTGTGCCTTCTGAGCCTCATTGATTTGCTCTTTAAAAGAATGTAAAACTTGTTTTCTAAGTCAGTTTCTCAGCATTTCCCCACATCCCTGTGAGGTGTTACTAGATTGAATGTCTTGTGCAGTATAGATTTTATGATTTACGGCTTTGAGACGAAGCGTGCACTTAATTTTAACTGATTCACAGATTTTATTTAACTTTGATGATGCTGTTAATAATCTACGGATGAAAACTTCTCACACCAGACTTTATTTAACTTGTTAACTGCCATGAAATGTACTGCACATATTGTGTTCCTCCCAATAATGACACTCCATGATCTTTCTTTTGCACTATTCTCAGGAAAAATCCACAGTTTTGCAAGATATTCTCACGAACAGGCAGATTTTCTGCCTTTGATAATTGTTCTTCCAGAGAGCAGTTTGTACAGTTTTTAGACACCCTCTGGACCATCCACATTATGATGTTTTTTGCTAAGCTTGCTGGAGAATAACCTGCAGAATATGATATTGTGAAACGCTGTGAGAAAGTTTTTTATTTTCATGATTCATGAATGCTTCTCTGCATTTCTTCCACAGGGGCTCAAGCCAATGGACCACAACGGGCTGTCAGATCCTTATGTCAAGTTGCACCTACTGCCTGGCGCCAGCAAGGTGTGTAAAACACTCTTAGTTCATAATAAATCTGTATTGTATTTTTTTGACTTTCCATCACTGATGAACTGGGTGGAATTGATTTGTCTTGTGCTTTGGATTTACTGCAGATAAAACTTGCTTTTACAGGCATACCTAGCTTAGCATAAAGACTGCAAGATCACACAAACAGCTAGCTTCACTACACCTACCAGCATCGCCAACAGTCGTATGTTGTTATGTATCATCATAGTTGTGTAATGTTTGTGTGTTGTGCAAAATTCTTGGACTGAATGTGAATATGTGTTGTGAGTCTGAGTCTACTTCGTGTTGTGTAAAAGGTAAGGGCCACAGACTGTATTTTAAAAAGTGAAGCCAATGTGGAAAGAGCTTAAACCTGCATCTTTTGTAGCAGCCAGCAGGGGGCAACTCCCCTAGTTGTAAAAAGGAGTCAGATTGTATTGAAGCCGATAAGAAAATGCCCCAACTTTTCACTTGATCAGTTGTGATCTCAATCATTATTTTCAGTTCTCTTTCATCACTTGAAAGTGATGTTCATTCAGTAGATTATGGCCTTATTTAGAGGAAAATGGACAATAAAGCTAGGTATGCTTTAGGGTGCGGTTATCTTGAGATTCTATTGTTTGGGCATTCGTACTCTCCTCAATTTCTTAGTCAGATTCAGCCCTTGCTTGTTACGTCCAGCTTCAAATGACCAATGTGGTGACAACCCAATAACAAAACTTGAGGATTTAAAACTGTATTCCGCAAACCGGTGGCCAATGAATGACATCTTGATGGCTATGTCCATCTTTTAAATAAAGTCTGAAGTATGGACCACACTCTCCAGGACTGTCTTTGAGGGGGTTTTTTTTATTTTATTTTATTATACTGTAAGCTGTAACACAGAAGTTTCAGAAGAAATATGTAGAAGGAACACTGCCATCCAAAATACAAGTCTGAAACTTGATCCACAGGAATGTAAAATGTCTTTTTCATATTATAGCACAACAATGTGGCACTACAACATGCTTTCCAAAATGATAATTTTGGAAGGCGAGATATCAAGTGATAACAAGAAGAGGAAGTTCTGAAAAGTGAGGATAAACATAGATTGTGTATAAAAGATGAACATCACTGTCATTTTGAAGCCTTGCATTTGGCATTTGGTCACTGCTGTCTTGGTTTATTGGAGTTAGAAGTTATCTCGTTCTCAGATTTAACTGAATAGTCTCCTTTACATCAATGTGTTGGTTAATAATCGTGCAGTCTAAGTTTAAAGAGCAACACAAAATCAAGTTGAAGGTCATTTAAATGTACACAGAGTCAATGATATGCATTGCTCTGCCTGTTTTCTAATTGACAGATCACCGTGGTAGCGCTTGTAAGCAGCACGCCCTACAACATAGCCTGCTTTAACTGTCTTCTGCTAAATGAGATCACCATGTTAAAAATGAACACCATGCTGTAATGAAGGAATCTTGAAACTAGCAACTGAAACCCATGATAGAAAATGTTTCACAAGGCAAGAAATCGAGTGAGAAGTTGGATCATTTTCTCATAGACTTCTATGTAATTGGACTTTTTACTACAACCAGGAGTCACCCCCTGCTGGTTGTTAGAAAGAATACACTTAAGCACTGGCTTTACTTTCAGACCCAGCGGTTATGTCGAGCTTTTATATACCAAAACAAAACAAAAAAAAGGAGCAATACTGACGACTCTTTGCATCCAAACATACCAGGAACAGAGCTTTAAATGCTGCTTTCTGTTGTTTCAGTGACTGTAATCTGATCAAGTTCTCTGATATTCTTCATATGAGCTTTGATTGGTCAATAATTCTTTAGTAAAACATTTATTTTGCACTCAGCCCATCTTGTGGTTTTCCCAGAGCTGGAAAGAGACCCACATGAGTAGAAGGCTAATAATATGTTTCATGATTCGGGAAGCACCACGGTGTGGGTTTGTCAGTGCAGAGCTTCATCAGTGTAAAAATTAACTGACTGACCTAACGCACCCACTTATCAATGACGTGCTTCACTTGGGAAGAACTTGTCTCCTACAATCATGCTGTGAGCCCGGGTTTGATCTGCTCAGTGTCCAAAGTGGATGCACTTGAATAGACGTAACTTTTGAAATGTTGTAGAAGAGCCATTAACGCTCTCATTGGGCTCCATGTGTCAGACCCCAATTGCTGCTTTTCATCCAGTGTAATTACAAAACGGAATCCAAGATTGAAATATTTCAGAATGACTCACTGGTTGTTTTATAAGAGACGATGGATTCTTTAGCTTGCCTGCATCCTTGAGGGTGATTTAATCCTTTCATTAAAGTCCTCAAATCTAATATAGATCCTGTGAATGAGTACATTTCACAAAAGCAGCTTATTGAAAGCTAAAGCTGTGTGATTATCCATCTACCTGACTCACATCTCCCTTTCTTCTAATACCTTTTCAGACTCTTTTCTTTTTAACTGAACTCGGTAATTGTTTAGAAATCTGCTCTTGCCATTGAATTTTGGCTTTGACTTTGAACCATGGTTGCATAAAGTGTGTAGTCACGTCTGACAGCTATGTGAAAAGCTCATGAATAATCATGTAACTGTGTGAGTTACTCATTTCTAATACTGTATGATTATTGTAGGTAATTCTTAAAGTTTGTTGATTAAACCGTTTTAAACTCATTTCTATGCACCAAAGTTAGTTATTTAGACGGTTGTTTTCCAGTAAAATAATCTGTTCCTTACATATAACTACACAATGTTGTCTCCTTTACAATATCCATCCCGACCCACCCCTCCATCACCCACTGCAACATGAGCATACCAGCTCACCTGCAACTGCTAAAACACCGTAAAACATCTCTATGTTTATGTCAAATTGTAATATTGGAGTAATTCAGCCATACGTGTTTGAACCAGAAACTCACCATGAAGAAAAATAATCGTACAGGATGTCACACCCTGTAAGTGGATCGGATTGGTTCATTAGATTTGTTTCTTATGAAACCCCGAAAGTCTGAACCTGAGTTTTAGAGACTGCAATCTGTATACCACAGTTCCAAGGTGAAAATGCTCATTCATAGCGTTACCTGCTTTTTTTGCTCATGATATGAAATGAAAAATGAAAAATACTTTATTTATCCCAGAAGGGAAATTCAATAAACATGTCTTCCAGCATATGAAAACATCATATTGGCAGGATAGCAAGGTTACAAAAAGCAGGATTTTCATTGGAAGAGGTCTTTACCAGATGCTCATATCATGTAAAAATTCAGAATTACCACCATTAAAACAACAGCACACGTCTCCTGTATAATTTAAGCCTCTTAGAAATGACTGATTTGCAACAGAAATCAAAACATTCAACTATAATCCAAAAAATGAAACCAAATTTAAACTTTTAACATTTAATATCAACTTGGCACCGGAGAAAAGGTCATGTTTGTCCTCTCTATGGGAAACATTTATGACTCATCAGACCCTTGGGCTTGACTGTAAAGTTTATGAAGTTTAACTTTCATCTGTTCAGGCTTTATTTTTTAAGTTTCAGCTGTGCGTAGGCTGGATTTCTAGAGTTAATTTCCTTAGACTCCCTAAACTTAGATCAACTTTATTGCTCCAAAAGGGAAATTGTTTGAAAACAGTAGCAACACAAAATAATTATAGAAGAATATACAAAAATAAAAAA